GAATGCCTGTTTATGTCCATATGCAGCACCAGTGGGGCTCTCCTGGAGGGTTGGTGTGATGCCCCAGACCTTGGGGTTCATTCTCAATGACTATGCCATACTGACACCCATGACACGAACCCCTAGGCCCCTGCAGGACAGGTTTGCACAGACACCAGGGAGGCAAGGTGCCTGCATGCATGACAGTGTGTACCACAGGGCCATCCAAGAGGGCATGCAGAGGGGACACGGTCACGATGAAGCAACACCCTTTGCTCCTGGCTCAGCCACTCCCCTCTCTTCACTGCCCGTTCACATGCAGGAGCCAGAGAATGAGCTCAGTCCAACTGTAATTTAGCTCCTTTTCTTCCACCTGCCTTTTCCAGGCAGGGTGTCTGTGATGTAAGGTGTTCCCCCTCCTTTCAGCTCTCAGCAGGAGGGTGAAGGTGAGGATATGGCCTCCACACAAAGCAGCACGTGTGCCAAGGTGTACTGGGACATCAGCAAAGCAGCACAAGCATTAGACATGAGTGAAGGTCCCAAGCTTGTCAAGTAACTGATACCCAGGTTTTTGGCACTCAGACACATTTGGACTTTATAGAGATGTGACAGACTGTGGCTTTTCAGTTCTTGCACTAGTCAAGGGGAAAACCATGCACATCCCTTGCTAGAGGCAAGTGAAGACTCATTCTAAGCTAGTAAACCACAAAAATTAGTCCATGAAGCAGGAAGTGCCTTGATTATTCTGCCCCATTTCAACAAACAACTGGTGTGCAAAACCCCACTCATTTCACAGACTGTTGTGGTATTTGGGCACGAGTGGTAGGGGACAAAAAGGGCCCTGTGTTCTCTGCAGCAAGCCTGGAGGAAGGTTGGTTGGGTCCTTTGCAGCAGTTGAGAGGATGAGTAATTGGTGTCATGGTCAGAAGCACAGTTAAGCATGGGGTATAATGAAGCCACTCCAGTGTACCTATGGTGTGAACAGGTTTAGGGAGTGGTTCTTCTGCAGACAAAGCAGGTGAGTATGTCTTCTTCACTGCTGGCCAAAACTGTCTTGATCAAAATCCAGGGAGCAGAAAAGGAGTCTTGGTGGGTCAGATCAATCTTAGAGAAAAAAAGAAGTTTCACTCTGTCAAAAAGTGTTCTTTACAGCCCAAGGACCCAGTCACCCCAGGCATGGCATTTGCATGTGTGAATACATATCTCTGCTTTTGAGGGTCTTACTATTTGATTTCTGATTTAAGGTATTTGAACCTTTTATTTTGCAAACTTTGCTAGGAACGTGGATCCGTTGGGACAAAAAAAAAAAAAAATAATAAAAAAAACAATTAGAGCTGATATTGTCACTGTGTTCTCATTACTGTAAGAGCACCTTCAGAAAAATGCCTGCCGTTGTAAGAGTAACAATAAAATCACAAGAGCTACTAACATGAATTCACCTGCTCTCAGCCTTCTTAGTTAAGTCTACAAAGAGTCCAGAATTTGCCTCTTACAAAATATACATAAAAATTGTGCAGCTATATTTATATAATCTATTAATCCCATAATAACAAGGGTTACATTTTCGTTTAAAATGTCAGAAATTCAATTCCCTTTCTGCCATCTGCTAAGATCTGACATGGCTCTGAAACAATTAATGATGCTGCAGCATTAGACAGAAAATCAGTTCAGCATTTTTCTTTTATTCACATGGTTGAATGCCAGCCAAAGTAGCATAAACAAAGGGCCCCTGAGCTCATACATCAAGGCATTTGGGGCAGTAAGAATCTTCAGATCATTTTGTTCTAAAATGCATTTGCCATTTTTAAGGTGTAAATGTCCTGTGTGTCTTGTTAGGAGTTTGACACCTTGACAACCTGCAAACTGACTCCACTGCTGCTTTGGAAGAGCTCAGGGGGTTGCTGCGATCATGGGGAGACTGGCAGGAAAGCTGTGCATGCAGCTGACAAACTTACTGGTGAGCTCTACCATAGAAATATGTCTCACCTTTTCTTTCTTCTCTTGAAGAGGAACCTCTCTGCCTTGCAAGTCATCATCACAGACCTTGAGTGGTTCTCTCTGTAACCATCTCAAGCCCTTGCTAATTTGCAGCAGCAAAGTCAGCCAAAGAATATTTCTTCTAGGGGAAATAACAAATTTACAATTTCAGTGCTGACCATCTAGCAAATATATACATTTCCTTTCACTATTGGAATCCAAATTTGGTTTATTGTGTCTTCTTCCTTGAAATTTTGAGGCACTTTATCATTGTTTATTTAACAGATCTCCTCATAAATATAAATAAAGGACTTTTGTTAAGTTTAGTAGGTATGAACTTCTGTGGAACATATCAGGATTGGTATTTAGCCTGCAGGCGGATTTCTACCTTTTTAAAAGTCTGTCACAGTTTTCCTATAGCTTGTCCTTTGAACAACCAGAATTCAATTACAGGGATTCTTGTACAGCATCCAGTCCCATACCTCAGGCAACCAGCTGGTGCCCAGTTAAACAGTCTTCCTATAACAAGCATCCATTTTCCTTGTAGACCTGAGGTGCCTGCATCTGGGACACCTACTTTTTCTCTGCTGACGTGAGAGGAAACAGTGACAGTGAAGGCTTCTTAATGTAGGAACTTAAAGTTTAGGTGCAAGTTTTACGTATTTCAGTAAATGTGAAAGATATTCCACCCCTTAGAAATTATTTCATGCATAACACTATATTCCTGTGGCTTTTGTCAATTTTTGTGAATTGAAACCAGACTTTCATGCAGAGCTGACAAGTTTTTTGGTGTTTGGTGGAGTTTTTTTAAGAGTCACTAGACTATTATAAGCCTCCTGCTTTTCCAGGAGGGCACAGATTTATGCTTATTGAGCACGGACTTGCAGACCAGAGTAAGAAATCATATGTTCTGAAAGCACTTCTGCATATTATTAATTTAATAATTGAACACTAGAGGCCTTCCATAAGATGTCTGTTGTTTGTTAAGGAGCACCAACTCTTCTATTTCCCAAAAGCTGAGATGCATTTGGAAATGAGTGATGGTCTAAAAAACCTGGAGGTGCTCAAAGGCAGAAGAATCAACGTCACACCACCTCAGCTGGATAAAATAGTGACTGGAAGACCACAACAGCCAGGATACAAAGCATTTCTTTTCAAAGATGCAGTATTGGGATCTTCATTGCACTTGCAGCCAGATTTGCTTCTTGTGTGTTTTTGTTACATGCTGATTATCACTCATTAAAAGTAAGATCTCCATCTAAAAGGTAACAGCATCTGTCCATCATGAAGAATGTCCTATCATGCTGGCAAAATGGACTTTTATTGAAGATGTAAGTAGTGCTGCAGGCCTGTGATGGAGCTGGGGTGGAATTAGGTTACGGGTGCAGAGGAGCAGTTCATAACTGAGCCTCCCTGAGGAGCAGGGAAGGTTCCCCTGGACAGTAATCATGCCTAGGCCTCAGATGGCTTGTCTAGCTTCCATTTTCACCCCTTATGAATTATTCTTCCCTGCTATTTGGAAAGGTCATAGGTCAGTACTGCTCCAAATCCCCTGGTTTTTGACAGAAAATGCATCTCATAAATAATGAAGTATGGCTTTGTGCACACCAGGATAACAGCTTAGTGAGGAAGAAAGGATCCTCCCTGCAGAAGAAACTTCTGTGTGTTTTGAACAACTAATCACCATGCACAAGAAGTCCAATTGTATCTGTGAGTATTAGTACAGCCTCCTAACCAGAGGCCACGTGTTCAGGAAAAGCTGAGAACAATGTCTTGCACGCTTCCAGTCCCAAAGAGTGACAGTATTTGAAATGAAAAATGTTCCTTGAAGTGTCTCGCTGCATAAATCATTTGGAAGTGTGACTCCTTATCAGTTATTTAGAGGTACTGAATTTTAGCTGAAAAAATGTAATAGCAGAACTCTGGTTGAGCCTTGGCTGATAACCTAAATGTGTTGACCATGAGAAGCATACAGATTATACATGAAATCCTGAGACTAAAAATGAGCTTTGAATTTTCAAGTGCACACCAGGGTCTGAGAAAAGAAGATAAATTCAGGTATTTTTCGGCTTTGGCCTTGAGTCCAAATTGTATCCAGCCTGCTCTGTTGCTGGCTGTGAATGACAGCTGACTGGACATCCATTAATGAGAGTGACACAGCTGAAACCAAGGGCAGCAATCCCAGGAGGCTGCACCAGTCAAAATGGCAAAAGAGAAGTAATATAAGTGTGACCTGTGTTTCTATCATTTAGGTGAAAGTATGTCAGGAAAACCACATCAGAGACTTTGCTGAAGTCTAACCTAAACTATTTCATTTTCTTTGTGCATTCCCAATTCTACTCAGAATTATTTAGAACCAGTTCCAAACATTGCCTGTTTGTTGCATCTCTAATTTGAATAGCTTTATAAAGAACTCCTGTTGGAGGTTTTATAGGTGGGAGAGAGTTAAGTTTTTTTTAAGCAGAGAGTTTTGGGCAGGCATATAAGCTGCATTTTTATGGGTTTTTTTGCTACCAATAGGTCTTTGAATATATTTTGTGCATATTGGGATATATTACATTATTTCTCAAAACTATTGCATATGAGACACATAAGCTGACTCAATCTATTGACTGATTGCATAAGGTGCCAAGAATCCGGGTCAAAGCAAAAACACCTCTCAGAAGCTACCAGTTTAGAGACAGTGTCTTCTCTTTATCTTATACTTTGCCTCATCACAAATACGTTTTGCATGATTTTTTGAGAACCCCAGAACCTGATTTTTTACAGGATCTAGAAAGAGAAGTATATGCTTTAGAATGGTTATTCAACTGTGCATGAAATCCTGTTGCCTGTAAAACAAATACAAAATATCTTTTTCCAGATGCTCCTCAGGGTAGTAACCCAAAAACATTTTGCTACTGAAATCATTTTTGCACAGAGCTAATCCTGAGGCTTTAAGCTACCTGCCAGTCAACTACTGATTTCAAAGCCTCAAGAGCAAGCAAGGAACCTTCTTGGCATCTCTACCATACCACAAAATCCTCTCCATCCATCCCATGCTATGTGTACATGCATGACATTTGAACAGAAAATACTACAGTGTGCTTTTTCCCTTTTGGGGGGTTTTTTGGTTGTTTTTGTTTGTTTGTTTGTTTGTTTACCATTACTAGCTCCCTGGAGGGGGACTCCCTACAGGAGGCATTGCACAGGATCCCAATTGGTTTTTTGTGCAGCTATCAAAAGGATAATTATTAATGTGGGATTAAAATAACATCTTCTAGAGGTCAAGCTTCCATTTCAAGCTTTTCTGTCCCTCTGCATTTAATTTTTTGTATTCTTTGATCCCAGAATTGCAAGAAACCATTTGTTATAAAACTATTTAAAGCCTCATGGTGGAGAGCTAGTCACTGGTGCTCAGTGCCGAAAGGGTTAGTCTGAAAGAGAAACAAGTCTGAACAAAATATAGTCTCATTATGCTTATCCACATGATGTTTAATTACTCCTCATTTGGGGGAACTGAGGAGCTGTAAACCATAATAATCAGTGCTTTTATGGATGGTAATGTCAGATGAATGTTTGGAAGAAAATGACAAAAAA